TCGTCATAGCTTTTGTTAAGTTGCTAGTCGGTAATAGCGATTAACAGAAATTTATTCTTATCCGGATGATGGTAAGGTAAACTCCAACAAATTCAATTCCACGCATAAAAATGGTTTTGTGAGGTTTTGGTATTCCCATTAAATCCTACGACGAAATAAATCGTAACATCCCGGCGTATCAGACATTCTATTCATCGAGGGGTTAGTAATTCGTGAGTTATACCTAATTAATAGGTCAGTATTCACTACTAAAGGATTTCCTCCAAAGCAGGTAATTATTATAATCTTTATTACAATTAACTACGTGCGATTTTACTCATCATTTATCCAATAATCAGTGAATTATTTTCAGAAGGACCAGAAAGAAAGAGATGAATAAAAATCCAGTGGATTCAGCGGAGGAGGTTTCGTCCGACGAAACTTTTTTCGAGTACCCCGAAAACATGAAGTCCCCGGAGAATTGGACAGATAAAGACGATGGTGGAATAGAGGAAAAATGCGATGGTGCTCATGAACTAGCTGATTGTCCATCGAGTACCCATACCCTGTCAGCAATTGAAAAACTCAGAAACTGGACTGGTGATCCGAGTTCCAGTTCATCTGATGAGACACACTATCGAAATCTTGTTGAATGCAGAAAGGCAAACAAAAAGAAGACATCAAGGAAGCATTATAGTTCTGAGACAAAGTTGATGATGATTAATTTTTTGATTAATAATGGTGTAATTGAAAAGGCCCTAGTGAAGGCGACGTGGGATAATTTGTGTAAGGCAGGAACACTGGATCCCCCCAGAACACCAGAATCCCTTGTCATGCAGTTTAAAAGTCATCTCGTTCACGAGTTTGCTCAATTCACTACAGACCCCGGAGCCTTGTATAAGTTTCTGCTCTTGCAGCAGAAACACGAGGAGGCATGCGGTGAGAGAGCTGAGAAGAAAAGGGAGAAAAACTTGAATTTTCAGTAAAATAAAACTATTTTCAGGTCGTTTTTTTATGATACTCTAACATATTTGATCATAATAAAGATTAATCAGTTTCACTTTTAATTATAATGATGATTTAATGGTAACTCATTCAATTTATATTAATAAAATGGGAAAAATTATAAATATTTCTTATTGCTCTAGTAATCCACTCGTAAAGTTCCATTTATGTTGCTATTCAAAGAACACCCATGGTGGACACTCGAAACTAGAACTTGAAAACACGACAGTAGACAGAGATAATATTAGAAGACACACTTAGAAGAAAATTTGATAGATTTCAGTTGACGATAAATCGTCTGTTAAAGGGTTCAACCTTCCTCAAACTAGGCCTGCGAAGATATTCAGGAAGTAGACATGAGAAGTTTGAGTCTTTGGGCAGGGTTGTATTCTGTTCCAGAATCTGATCGCTGCTTCGAGGGCTGTGGAAACCTTCACCTTCCCGACTTTTTGGCTCATTAGCCTCCTATCACCATCACCGTCGCTTGATCAATGCTGAATCTACTCTGCCTCGGTCTCTTCTCCGTCTTCTGCTCAGTGGACGACTGTCACAGAACCTTCAGGTCCAACAGAATCCTGAATCATTCCCAGTAGTTTTATTACTCACTACTTTATTTTTATTTCTCACGACTTTCAGTAGTTATACGAAAGTCAGTGCCATTTATACGAGACTTTAACGACAATGGCGGAACTGTCACAAATGGACTTGGCAGTCTATCCTCTCGATCGCCCTTTTCATCACTGCCTCATGTATTTTTCTAATCCTTGAACTGCTTTTGTAAATGAAGGTCTTGGGTGATGAGAATCAGGCGAGGAAGCCTTCATTGAAGACACTGAACTAGGACTGAGTTTGAAAGCAGCTTGGTACTTCATTAGTCGATAGACACTAGGGCAGAATCCCTGAAGAAGCATCACGAGGTCTATGAGGAGGGGAATGGTAATCTCTGATACTTGATGTCCATTTCGTTGGTGCCCTTGTAATAACAATCAGTCTCAGGATAGCTTCAAAGTGTGAAATTTCGAGTTCTGCTGGGTTTGACTGACCTCAGATCAATACTAATGTGGTAATGGTGTTGACGTTGTGTTCATTTCAATCAAAAATACAGCAGCAACTTAGCAAAGGTCTAGTGCCCATAAGATCTCATCCAAAACCAGTACTCGGGATGAAGAATCACATCCACGTTGTTCACCTTGCCGTGTCCTCCAAGTAAAAGATAATTCGAATACTGAAATGGAAAACAACAGAGATAAGTCCATTAATAATGAATAGATAGTTTATAGATGTAGGATCATAATCATGAGGACATAGGATATTTATTTTAATGGAATAATAAGCATATATTTGAGTTAAAATCGAATTAGTAAAAGTACATCTTCAAATGAGCTAAGCTGCTCTACATCTTCACGCGACATCCGTCCGATTACAACTGACTTACTCTTCGTTCTCTCATTCGGGCAAACACTCTTTTCTTTCTCTATTTCAAAATGCTCTTTCTCTCTCCCACTCATTCTCAACCAATATACCCTTTGTTCCAAAAAGTGACCTCACTGTTCGTCATCCAGGCCACCCTCATTCACCCAAGAAAACTCTCGAAACTAAACAAGACCGTAATAAAACTGTCACACAGCATAAACACTTTTCATTTCACACTTCACTCGAGCATACGCTACAAACAACCTTTTTCTTCCACGCAATATTCTTCGAAAACTTATCGTCTCTAATATTTAGTCTATAATGAACTCTTATTCTAAATATCTGGCGACACAACGACTTTTCACTTCTCCATACCATTTCAATAGGTTCTTTCTTCAGACCTCAACATACATACACACTAATTCACTGATTCCACATCCTGCCATCCTGCACTGGTATCGACCTCGATACCACGATTCACTTTTTGCCATTTTCCTCAACAGCATCATCCTCGTCATCAGTGAACCACTCGTCGTAATCCTTGATCGTCTTAGCCCAAGGCTTCATAAAATCTGCTGCAGAGCTCGTACGATTGGGACCCTCGTGGTCTCCAACCTTTTCCACTACATACCGATTATTGCGCATGACCGTAACGATTTTGTACGGACCCAAAAACTTAGGGTACAGCTTGAGTCCTCCTCCAAACTGTGTACGTTGAATGGCGACTAAATCACCAACTGCGTAGCCCTCAGCCGGTTTTCTCTTCCGGTTGAATGTCCTCTTATTTTCTTCTTGGATTTTCAAAATGTTTTGTCTCGCTTCATCACGAAGAGTTGTGCGTTTCTCTTCGTACAACTTGATGAATTCATCTTCCACCAATTGTCTCAATTGTTGATCATCAGCTAACTTCATTTTTTCACCAATTAATAATTCGAAAGGTGTCTTCTTCGTACTTCTGCTGAGTGTAGAGTTCATAAATTGTTGCACCTGACCAACGTGTTTCCACCATTCCATGGGATTGTCTGCTGACAACTTTGATAAAATTGGAATAATCACGCGGTTCATTCTCTCCACCTGACCATTCGCCCGTGGTACACCTGTTGTAATTAGAACATGTTCAATGTTTTCTGCCTTGCAATACTCATCGAACGCGTTAGCCGTAAACGCAGTGCCTCGATCGGAAACAATTCGCCTGGGATTTCCAAAAGTCACCGCCTGTAATTTGAGTCTGCCAATCGCTTCTTCTGCTGTCGTCGATTTCGTTGGATACAGCCATGAAAACTTGGTAAAAGCATCAACCACAACAAACAAATGATTGTATGCCTTCTTCGTGGAGGGCATTGGACCCAAATAGTCAATGTGATAAGTGTCCAATGGAACAGTGCCCTTTTCAATGGGATTTAACAATCCATCACTTTTCCCATACTTTTTCTCCAAAACTATACATTTCACGCAACTTTCAATCACCTTCTGAATTTTTTGTCTCATGTTAGGAAACCAATACTCACGTTTCAACATAAATTCGACTTTATTCCAGCCAAAATGTCCTTGTTCATGAGCCTGCTTGATGACGTCATACTGCATCGCTTTGGGTATCACCATGAGTTCATCTCCACCAACCTCGCGATACAATACACCTCTTTTTAACATCGAAAAATCATCATTTTGTCCAGCTTGAACTGATTCAATTATTTTCTTCAACTCAGGATCTTCTTTTTGCGCCTTTTTAATTTTCTCGATCAAACTGTCTCGGCCTTCCTGCACTAATAAAATCTCAACTGGGTTTCTGCTTAATGCATCGACATGACGCATGGACATACCTGGCCGATGTTCAATCGTGTAATCAAATTGATCAATTAATAACGCCCAGTGTGACACTTTCAACAACAAGTCTTTCTTTTTCATCGTCCACACAAACGCTTGACAGTCTGTCACAATCTTAAAATGAATGCCCAACAAATAAACCCGAAATTTGTCCAACGCCTTCACAACGGCCAATATCTCCAATTCGTAGCTGGTGAATTTTTCCTCAGCGGGTGTCGTCTTCCAGCTCGCATAATAGACCGGATGTAGCTTACCATCCTCGGGATCTTTCTGTAGTAACACAGCGCCTAGTCCACCCATACACGCATCTGTGTGTAACTCTGTCTCCGCACCAACACGATACAATTTGAGCACTGGAGCTGTTGTCAATGCCGCCTTTAACTTCTCGAATGATGCTTTTTGTTTGTCACCAAATTCAAATTTGACACCATCTCTCAGCAACTGAGATAAGGGGCGTGCCTCCACAGCAAATTGGGGAATAAATTTTCGAAAATACCCCGTGAGTCCTAAAAAACTTTGCACCTGTTTCACTGTTTTTGGAATCGGGAATTTTGCCACCGCTAATGTCTTCTTATCGGAAGGTTGAATCTGTCCAGCCTCCACAATGTATCCCAAATACTCAACTCGTTTCACCAACAATTTACACTTTCTCCAGTTTATCACCAAACCGTACTCACTCGCCGTGTTCAACACAATTTTCAACTTCTCCAAGTTTTCTTTTTCGTCTTTAGCAGGAATAATTAAATCATCCAAATAAACCAAAACGACACCACTTGTAATCATTGGACTAATTGATCCTCGATCAATGGCAACGGATTTCTGTCCTTTATGATTTTTTTATTGAGTAACCGATAATCAACACAGAGTCTCAGTGACCCATTTTCCTTCTCCCTCAGCACTATAGGGCTAGCATAATCGGATACACTCGGTTTCACAACACCTTCGTCGATCCACTTCTCAATAATTTCATTCACTCGTTTTTTCTGCTCAGCTGAGAGTCGTCGTGGATGCTGAGATACAGGTACATCATCTTGTAAAATAATCCGCATTTTTACCCCCGTATCTTTCGTTTTCGTCGGTGTGTAATTCTCCACTAACTCTCGTAATTCACCCTTGATTTGTGGATCAATTACGTGTTGAATCGAAACCTCATAGTCATTTTCAGTCACTTCACACACATTGATAACCAATACCTCATTCCAGCCAGTGTCACCTGTCTCCACAAAATTTTCATCCGATTCAATTTTCTTCAAAACTGCTTGTCTGTGTTTTACTCGTACTTCCGCATGATCAGACAATTCACCACCCACTAATAAATCGTGTCCGAGAAATTCATCTGGAACTACATCAAAATTGAATTTAAACGTCAAATCGTCGATAATTATATCCGCCTTAAAACGCCCAAGTGTACGTTGGTTTAGCGCACCAACACCGTCAAAAGGGATGGTCTTTGACTCGAGCTTCGGAGCTCCGAGCCTCACGTAGCAACTTGACCGCACCAGATGTAAGTCACTCCCTGAATCCAACACAGCTGTAACCTCTTTACCCAAAATTTTGACCTGCTTATATGTTTTCTTGTCCCCTGATTTTAACGCGTCACAACGATTCTTCTCTTTTTTTTCTTCTTTTCCCTTTTCACCTCTGGTATTTTTCTTTTCTTTTGTACACTTTGTAGACAAATGTCCAAATTCATTGCAGTTAAAACATCTTGGCCCTTTTTCCTTGTCTGGACAATTATCACCGAAGTGCGCCTTGCTGCCACAATTAAAACAATGCAATTTGTTTTTTCCACCATCTCGTGTGTGATTCGACATCTTCATCTTATCATTTTTCTGGGGTTGCTTCACGTTCGCCTTCGTTCTACTATTTTTCTTCTGCGTCTCATACTGCTTCAATTTTTTCCTTAACTCTTTCACCGTCGATGCACCATATAAAATTGATTTATTCACTTCTTCATCTTGAATACCATCGATAATGTACTGTAGCTTAGCCTCTAACTCAATGTCACCGTGGCTAGCCATCTCTAATACGCGATATACATATGCTTCATAACTTTCGTCACTTTTTTTCTTCACATTACCCAACTGTTCATGCACTTGTTTACTGTTCACCGTTTTGGAAAATTCTTTAATTAACCGTTTCTTTAATTTACTCCACTCCTTGGCATGACACTCGTAATTTGCAAATAATTTTGCAGATCCATCTAATAACTTCTTTGCATAAATCACCTTTTGTGCCTCTGACCACGAACACTTTTCCGCGGTTTCTTCGAAAGTAGAAAACCAATGTCGAATATTTTGGCTTCCATCACCACTGAATCTTTCAAGAGCATCTTCAACATCTTTAAACGTCAATGTAGAACGTGGATAACCGAACAAACGATACATCCCACTGTTCTCGCCTGCGTTGAGCCCATTGTTCACAACATGTGTTTCTCGTTTACCCTGACTGTCGTCTTCAGAGTCATTGTCAGAACTCTCGTCACTTTCTTCACTTTCTGAACTGCTGTCATCTTTTCCCTCCAGAGCCGCCTTTAGTCTTGTGATCAGTACTGCCTTCGTGCCCCACGTCTTCAATCCCAATTCTTTGAGTCGTGACTTCAAATCTTTGGACTTCAACTTTTCAAAATCATTTACTTCTTCTTTGTGAGAGTTATCGCCATTCTTGCCATTAACACCATCGACAATTTCACCACTTTTCACCGTTGACTCTGCTGACCTCAAGCGTTCGACCAGTGCCGCCTTTTTACCCGTCACCTTGAGTTGTAAGGCACGTAATCGAGCTTTCAGTTCACCAACTTCCAGAGTATCCAAATTGTCTTCATATTCACTTTCTTCTTCTTCATTGTCTTCCATGGGGAGATCTTTCGACTTACGTGTCAAATCAACTTTTTTAAGTCGACTAATCAACACTTCCTTTGACCCTTTGGTCGATAGGCCAAGCACTTGGAGTTTGCTCCTCAACTCCTCAATGTCCAACTCCTCATACGCCTCAGCTGTCACGGAACCAGTCATTTTAACACCTTAAATACGCTACACAAAAAATCGAGTGGCCGTCTGCCTATTGTGTACCGCACGCACTTTAACCGAATTCCCAGGTATGAGTTGTCACCATTGACTTCACCTTTAAAATGTCATCACTCCACTTTAAAATATCTTTATTGCCTTGACATGATCCCGGACGAGCCCCCAATTTGTAGGATCATAATCATGAGGACATAGGATATTTATTTTAATGGAATAATAAGCATATATTTGAGTTAAAATCGAATTAGTAAAAGTACATCTTCAAATGAGCTAAGCTGCTCTACATCTTCACGCGACATCCGTCCGATTACAACTGACTTACTCTTCGTTCTCTCATTCGGGCAAACACTCTTTTCTTTCTCTATTTCAAAATGCTCTTTCTCTCTCCCACTCATTCTCAACCAATACACCCTTTGTTCCAAAAAGTGACCTCACTGTTCGTCATCCAGGTCACCCTCATTCACCCAAGAAAACTCTCAAAACTAAACAAGACCGTAATAAAACTGTCACACAGCATAAACACTTTTCATTTCACACTTCACTCGAGCATACGCTACAAACAACCTTTTTCTTCCACGCAATATTCTTCGAAAACTTATCGTCTCAAATATTTAGTCTATAATGAACTCTTATTCTAAATATCTGGCGACACAACGACTTTTCACTTCTCCATACCATTTCAATAGGTTCTTTCTTCAGACCTCAACATACATACACACTAATTCACTGATTCCACATAGATGATATTTAATTTTTATTATAATTAAATCAAGCCCAGTTGAATGACAATAGGAGTAAAATTACGATAAAACAAAACAAGAAGAAAGTATCAATTTTAGAAAGGTTTCCATCAGACAATAATCGGATTTAAGAAATAATCCAAATTGGAAAATTTTTGTCGAAAAATTGATGAAATTCTTGCCTTTCTATTTTTACAATTGATCAGGTTTCAACAATATTTCCACTTCTAATTATCAATCAATGTTAAAGTTGGATGCAAATTAAAGCTAATATAATTTTTTATTGATTGCACTTAATTATAATCAATTTTAGAAAAAAATCGAGGAGATACGACGATATGTGTCATTAACCATTTGTAAGGCCCGGTTGCAACCACGTCTGTTAACTAAACTGCCAGATAACGGTCTGTTAGTCCATAAGGATTACACATGGATAAATTTATCCTGGGGTAAAAATAGTTAACAGGGCTCGACCGGGCCTTAGGCTCGGTTGCACCATCGTCTGTTAACTAAACCGCCAGATAACGGTCTGTTAGTCCATAAGGATTACACATGGATAAATTTATCCCGGGGGTAAAAACAGCTAACAGGGGTTGGTGCAACCGGGCCTTAGTATAATTGAAAAAGTTAATTCACGAAAGAGAAAAATTATCGTTTCAAAAGACTAATAATTCAGAGGTTTGATTATGCTGAATAATATTATAACGATAGAGTAGTTAATATACATTTGATTTCATCGATTATGAGTCAATGAAGACGGAAGTTCATAACAATTGAAAGTTCGGAGAGGAATTGGAAAATATATTTTTGAAAATCTTGTCAGTAACTAACAGTACCAATGGATTGTGTTTAATGATTCTATCCTCAAATGCTCAGAACTATTTTTTTCAAAATATCCTGCTCAATTAAATCTTATTCATTGTATTGGTAATTGATTGATGAATTATTCTATTATTACCCAAATAACATTGATTGATAAGCTTAAATAATTCGATTAATTTGAAGGATGACTGCATCGCTCAGTTGCTTCAGAATCCTACAAAAAAAAGTAATTCCAAATAGTAAAAGAATATTTTTCATCCGTTCGTGTACTAACCGCTGTTTGAAAAACGATGGATTCATGTATGACCATGATTTATCTATGAATAAACCATAGTAAATATCTCGTAGCTGGATCATTTAGCGACTCGGAGGGAGTCTTGGCGATCTATTCAAGCACAAAGTTGCTGTATTCAAATACGAAGTCGTTGTCCTTCCACCATAGTAAATTAAAGTCTCGAGGTAAATATTTAGCTGTCATTTGGTCTATTAAAACTAAATAATTCACTGGGTAAAACTCCGTGATCCTAAAGCCACAATGACTTTTTGTGAACCTCACTGAAAATCACTTCAGTGCATTATAGGGATGATTTCGTTAACACTCACTACTGAAACAATAATGAAACCATTACTTATTTTCTTTATTGAAAAATAACAGTGAATGAACAAACCTTTTGGTGCATTCTGTTCCTCCTCCATATTCTCAGTCAACATCAAACAAGAAATCGGCTTCAGCACCGCAATAGTCTCTAGATATCTATTCATCTCATTGAACTAATAAACAAACAGCTCAGTAATTTCCAGGAACTCTAGCCCCATCCTCCACTTAGTGACTCCCCCAGGACCATCTTGCTCTTAATATTCTCCCAATGAGCCGGGCTCCTGTCGAACTCATTCGCCATATAAGAATCCACCAACTCGAGCTTATGGTTGTTCTCTAGCTTGGAGATCGGCTCCAACAGCAAGAGCCTTGCTCCTTCTTCAATCTAAATCTCTCCAGGTTTATTAGCTTCAGTATAAAATCCGTCCTAAATTCATCTGAGGAATCAGAGCATTCTCCAAGCTCCAGGGTCTCTAGGCTAGCCAAAGTTGACAAATTTAATTTTCTTCTTCCTACTCATCTGATTGAACTAATAAACAAACAGCTCAGTAATTTTTAGGAACTCTAGTCCAATCCTTCACTCAGGACCATTTTACTGTTTATATTCTCCCAATTAGCCAGGCACTTGTCGAATTCATTCGACACATGAGACATCACCAACTCGAGCTGACGGTGTTTCTTCAGCCTGGAGACTCTCTCCAACAACAAGAGTCCTTCAACCAGAGCCCTATCAAATTCAGTCGACACATGAGATTTTATCAACTCGAGCTGATGGTATTTCTTCAGCTTGGAGACCCTCTCCAACAACACGAGTCCTTCAATCAGAGCCCTGTCAAACTCATTCGCCACATCAGAGTTGACCAACTCGAGCTGATGGTGTTTCTTCAGCCTGAAGACCCTCTCCAACAACACGACTCCTTCATCCAAAGCCCTGCCCAACTTATTCGACACATCAGAATTCACCAACTCGAATTGATGGTGTTCCTTCAGCCTGGAGACCCTCTCCAACAACAAGCGTCCTTCAACCAGAGCTGTCTCAAACTCATTCGACACATGACATTTTATCAACTGGAGCTGATGGTGTTTCTACAGCTTGGAGACACTCTCCAACAACACGAGTCCTTCTACCAGAGTCCTGCCCCTTCTTCAACCAGAGCAGTTGGAATAAATCAGAGATTCTTTGCTGGATATAGTGTGTTAACCCCTGACTTTTATCCAAGAAGTATTTTTTCATATTTTCTGGTGGTTTTAATATATTTTTGCGTTGCTCGGTTGAACATTAATTGATTTTTCATGTGTGATACTTTGCCTGACAAATGACGATTAATCATCATGCACCACATGGAGATGTAAGTATCAATTATTATTTCCATGGCTCTGGTTTGCAGTTTGTCTCTGTGGTCGGTATTGTCGCATATAATCCACCAATTATCGACAACTTCATGAACACTCAACAGTAAAACCTTGCTAATTTGCCAGTAATGGCAAACTTTAGGCATGATTTCATTCAAATGTTGATGAACAGTTTCATAAATTCTCTCAAATGTACAGGCTGGATCCTGTGAGTTCTCAGATATTCTAATCAAGGAATGTTGGCAGCTTTGACAGGTTTTCACACTGGGCAAGTGCAATAGTCGTTGTCTAATCAAATCGATTGAGGTGCGTAATGACTTCCCATCGAAATTGTCCTTGCGTGCTAATGCTTCTTCCTCGGCAGTAAAAATGTTTTCTTCGTCGTCATCTACATTAGCAGTCATTTCCCTCAATTCCTTACTATTGGAAATCATGTCGTCCACAGCGAATAACATTTCGCCATTACAGGTACTCTCACAATTAGTCACCACGGATTGTGGACTCGTTAAGTTTGTGATGAGCAGAGCTTTGAAAATCCCTGTAAACTGCCAGCATGACGGCATGATGTTGCGACCACCAAAACTTCTAACGAGACCGAAGAAATTCTCTAATACATCTTGACTTAGAAGACGGACGATTAATTCCGTAAAACCCTTCGACACCAATAAATTCCATAATTTCTGAATTCCCTCAATGATAAGGATCCAACTATGGAGAGTCGGTACAGGTCTGCACTTATTTAGCGTTTCAGGATCGACGAAACGCATTCTCTTCAGTTCAACTAGTGCCTCTTCCCAAAATGTATGGTGAGGACTCTCCGCGGTGACCTTGCATCGTAATGGGGCTTGAGGATCAGAGGGTAAATGGCCATTGACTGAGTCGAATAAGTCCTTGAAGAAGTAAAGGATGTGAGCCATGTCTCGTCCCGCCTTTTCCGAGATACTCTGCGGCCCATCTGAAGTGTCTACGAAGCCTATGGACAGAGGCATAAGGTTTCAATATCATTATAGACTACTCTGTATTTGACTATGATATAAAAAAGTTAATAATCAATCACTGACCAACAATTTTGGAGAGATCGACAATATAGTCAGCAACACTCTTGCTCAACACCTGTGCCGCACACTTGACACGCATTTTTTTAATTGTATCTGCGAAGATGTGTTCATCAGTCAGCTTGGCCATCAAATTATTGCTTTTCATATTGGAAGTGGTGCTTATTGTGTATGCTCTCTGGATAATTTCCCACTTAGTGAACCGGCGATCGGATAAATCCTTTAATTCCTCGGGATTTACGTCAAACTCCAAAGGTTTAGTCAGCAGATTATTCCTCACTCCTTTCTCACCATGAGGTGGGCATATAAGAGGAATAGCTTCATGCCCTTCAATTTCCATTAAATCTAACAAAAAAGATTCCATCATAATTAGTTAATATCAAATTTGTGATTACTAGGAATTATATCAAATTTTGAGCG